ATACGTGAACGAACGTACAACTTCCCTTCACGTGGTACGGGCAGCATCTGTACACGTCAGTGCGCACCTGGGTGGCGATCTTGTGTATTAAATTATCGTCGTGTTGATCTTGGACGCGAGCAGAGGATCGTTAGTTTTGCTCCGGGATCCCGCGATCGAGGACGCCGAGGATCCGTTCCTCCTCTCTCAACGTTCGTCCGTTCAACTCGTTGCTTCCAGCAACCGACCTCCCTGTCCCTCTCCTCCTCCTCCTCCTCTTCTTCTTCATCTTCTTATTCTTATTTTTCTTCTTACTCTTCATCCTCTTATTTCTACATCCTCCCTCCATTCTGACCGATCTTTTCCAGATATATAAATGCATACATATATTCGTAAGATTGTACGTAAGATTATTACTCGTATTATTTCTCCTTCTCTCTCTCACTCCTCTTTTTTCTTCTTCTTCTTCTTCTCGCAACTCTCGAGCCCACCTTTTACGTATACACACCTGCCGTAATAATCATTTCGATGACACAAACTTGCGCTTTCACTTGAAATATACATATATATATATATATATATATATATATAACTACTTACTTATATATTTATATATGTATATGCATTAATATTTATTAAGCATCGATATCTCTCTTGAAAACTTTCTTTTCTTACTAGTATATATATATATATATAAATTATAATACGAAAGATATTTTTCTAGGAAATGTTTATGCTCATTGGTGGGAAAGAACAACCGAGTCGTTTTAAAAAGAAAGAAAGAAAAAAACGATAAAAAAGATAAAGCAAATGCGTACGTGATTCCCCTTACTCAGGTGAGGAGTAGTCCGCAAACGTCAAAGATTGGGCGAAAGAGAGAGAAGAAAAAAAAAAAGAAAGAAAGAGAAAAAGAGAAAGAGAAGTTGAGAGGTTCCGGGAGCAACACGGGTGGGGTCTACGTTCGAGTAGAGTGAGGGTCCCAGGGATAAGGCCCAGGGTGCCTCATTGCCGCTTGATTTACGACCTTCCTCTTTTTTTCGGTGCCTTTTTTTTTTTTTATTCTTTCTTTTATTATTTCTTTATTTCTTTCTCAGCCTCCTTTCTTTTCCCTCTTCCTCTTCCTCGACGGGTATACGGTATACATATAACGTGTGTAGAGCACGTATCGCATCACGTCCCATGGCATATGTTATATGGTACTTGGTATACCGATGGCTTGCTTGGTGGCGGCGGCCAATCGCCTAATTAGAGGACCCCTCCTTCCTTTCTTTTCTTTCCTTTTCTCTTTCTCATTCTCATTCTCTCTCTCTTTCTCTTCACCGTTTCTCCTTGGCACGCACCGCACGTAAAAACAAGAGTCCTATTCCGAAGCTGTGCTGCGTTCCCTCGCGAGAGTCCGACGAGGCCACCGTCGCTCTCATACTTACGATGAATGTGTATATATGTATATATATAAAAAATGTAAGTATATATATATATATATGTGTGTGTGCACGGAACGCCAATGCAAGCCTTCTCTCGCAGAGAGTGCCTCCCATTGGCGACGACTTCGACCGTACCTGCGATCAAAAATCACTGTGTCTTTTTTTGTTCTTTTTCTCATTCGCCTAAATCCTTTATTGTCTTATACCAAATTCGACCAATCAACAACGATCGGTTCTTTCTTAATAATTAACATGACATACTTGTTAAACTTTATGAAAATCTTCGTAACACTTTACACGTCAAATAGATCATTTATATACCTATCTCATTAATACGATATATACAATATTTATCTAAATGGGATTTACAAAAAAAAGTAAGATATTTTCGAAGAAAAAAAAACCCATGACGCGAATTTTACAACAACAACAACAAAAAAAACAGAAAAACCCATTACGATAAAATTTGACGAAAGAATAAAAGAATAATGTTTTCTCTATAAAAATAAAAAAAAAAAAGAGAAAAAGAATTTGGAAAGAAGTCGACGCCAATGAGCGGTTCTTCATAATAAGCTGACGAAGGCGATTGTACATATATATCTATATATATATATATACAATGTATTATATATATAAATGTATGTGTGTGGGTCTCGCGATAGAGCTCTCTCGCGCGCAGTTACATGCGCGCGGGCCTCGTATGATCTTGGCGCTCAGAGGCCCTCCGGCAAGGAGCTTGTCCAGCAACTCCTTCTCACGATTGAGTCATCCGACACGGGAAAAGGACCACCTGGTGAGTGGTGGAGCCGACGCATCTAACGATACGCCGCATCGTTCGGTCTCGTGGCTTCTCCACCACTACCAATCCTTCCTTACCCGTTTTCTCTTTCTCTCTCTTTCTTTCTCTTTCTATCTTCCCCCCTTCACCTTATGCCAACCCTATCCTATCCCATTCCACTTCAGTCCAATCCACCGTGTGCCAAGTTTCTCTACGTTTTATCTTCACCCGCCGTGTTGCTTTTCTTCAAACGATATATATCCCGGAACGCGATAAAAAGGATTCGTCGCCTTTTCGAAAAGACCCCCATACCATACGTTTCTTAACTCCTCTAACCTAACTTTTTATCATATCACATTATTTCTTTTCTTATAATTCTTCTATATCATTTTGTAAGAGAGTAGACACAAAATTAACGAAAATAAAAAAAAATAACGTCAAAAAGAATATTAAACTATACTGTACATGTATTTAGAATTATATTTTCTTATCTTTTATTCTCCAAGATGGCGGGTGTCGTTTATATTATTGATATATACAACAAATTCATTATCAAATGTTCAAATTTAATCTTTAATCATCAACAATTTTAAGATCTTCATATAAAATACTAATATTCTAATCGTCCGCTTAAAGATATATTTAACATTTAGATACAATCCTAATTGCATTCCAATTGATCAAACGTATAAGCCAATTCACTATTCAATTCTATACTTTGAAATACATTTACAAAAATTTTCCTGAATTTTAGCGTTATAAAAAAAACAAACAAACGAAAAAAAAAAATATAATCTAAGGTGGTCGATGAAATAAAATAAGTAATAGAAGAAAATCGAAGAAGGATAAGGAAAGAAAAGAGAAGGCACGTGAGATAGGAGAAAGGAGATAGAAGTGAAGAAGGAGGAGGAGGAGGAGGAGGAGGAGGTGGGGGGGAGGGGGGAGGTATATGGAAGGGAACTCCTTCCCCATACGACCTCGAATGTTCTCGCGCGAACGATCCGCGTCGTGCTGGCCGCGAAAGCGTGTGGCTTTTTGCCAAAGGGTATTTGCAGATTGCACACCTGTGCGTGGCTGCACCGAGGAAAGACCTCACCTGTCGAGCAACCGGTCTCCATTGACTTTTTCTTCGTTCGTGTACCCTCGTCACACCCCACACTCCCTCGAGGTGCCCGTTCCTTCCGCCCTCCCTACACCTCCCTTTGCCCTCCCCCTTACGTTCTGACTTGACTTGACTCGAGTCGAGTCGACTCGACTCAACTCGATTCGCGGCCTTTCTCTCTCTCTCTTTCTTTCTCTTTCTTTCTTTCTCATGAAGCAGAAAGATACACGAAGCGGATAAGGGAACACCTATGCTTTGCAAGTTTGTACGTTCTCTCTTTCTCTTTCTCTTTCTCTTTATTTGTCTCAGGTCTTTCGTTTATGTTAAAATTCTTCTTCTTCTCTGTCACACCATTGACGGTGTGTGTCACCACTCGCGACATCGCAGTCGTCTAAATATAGAGCCGATTTTTCGCGGAAAAAGTAACAGCCTGAGGATGTACAATGTACATAAGTAAATACTTATATATATATATATATATGTATACGGATACACATAAGTATATACTTGGATTGTACTGCTGTATGTTCACCGATTTTGTCGATGGCGATCCGGTTTGTGATCGTCGCTGAGGACTGACTTTCCAAGGGGATATCGTTCCCACTCGAGAATATGCTCGAGAAAGCCTGAGAAAAGTATATTCTTCGATTCAATTCTCTCTCTCTCTCTCTCTCTTATAAGACCTTGAAATTTGCTTATTAGTAACGAAATTAAAAAGAATGGATATAGAGAAAGATTAGAAAGATAAGATAACTCATGACAAATTAGAAAGATTTCGATCATTTATTAAGGATAATCTCAAAGAGAAAAGATGTTTTCTTCTTCCCCTTCTTCCTTCTTTCTTTCTTATACATGTGTATGTGTGTGTGTGTGTGTGAGAGAGAGAGAAAGAAAGACTTTGGAAATCCGTACGAAAGCATTTAACGATCCGGACTCTGAGGACTTTCCGAGGGCAAATTATCGGGCCGAAAGCAATTACCCGGTGGGGCCTCGATATATACGGAGGAGGAGAGCGGGTCGAGAGTTCCGAGAATCGGCCAGGGCTAAAAATAAGATCCCACCCGGGAGCGATGATTATGTTCCGAAAAAAGAGAACCGGGCGAAACCTTCTCTCTCTCTCTCTCTTTCTCTTTCTTACCAGGCGCACACGCGGTAAAGGTGAACGCTGTGGTAAGGAGTAGGAGGAAGAGAAGTAAGAGGATGATGAGAAAGAGAAGAAGAAGAAGAAGGAGGAGGTGGAGGAGGAGGAGGAGGAGGAGCACGCCGCGTAGATCGCGCGCAGGGGCCTCGGTTAATGAAGTTGTCGGTTGACGACGTTTACAGGTGGGGCCTGCCTGCGTGTGGTCCATTCACAGCGGCTGCCGCAGGACTGGTTAAGAGTTGCTTTACATCTTCACTCGTGAGACTCCTCGCCGTGAGAGGAGGATGAGGAGGAAGAGGAGGGGAGGTTGTTGGTATACCTGAGAGCATCTCTTCCTCCTCCTAACCCTTTTCTCTACCTTTTCTTCTTATTCTTAATCTTCTTTTCATTTCTTTCTTTTTTTTTCGAAGCTTTTTAAAAAAGAAAGAAAAGAAACGAAAAAAAAATCACCGTTTCTAGACGGATCGTCTATCCTTAGAATTAGACATTTTTCTTCTTCAATTAATTTCGTATAATTGTAATTATTAAATAACAATATTATATTCAATTGAATTGTGTTAATTATTATAATTACAGATAAGAAGAACAATGATGATGATGATGATGCATCGCGAACAAAAAGGTCAAACATCCTCGAGAAAGCAATCATCCTTGTCGTCATTGGGCGACCATTCAACGATGTACAACAGGACGACGACGACCAGTTACGAACTTGCTTCTCTTTCGAATTCATCCTCATCCTTATCGTCGTTGCCTTCGTCTTCGTCGTTTTATCCAACTTCGTCTTCGTCCTCATCATCAAAGACGAACTGTCCAAGTCTCTTAACTGTCTTAGCATGGACGGCTACGTTACTACTTGTATCATCTTGTCTTGGTATTGCCGATGCTGGTGTCCTCATGAGTCATCCCTTAGGTAAACGCTCTTACCTTGATCTCTCTTGCAAGGGCGTTTATGATAAGAGCATCTTCGCTCGTTTGGATCGCATCTGCGAAGACTGCTATAATCTTTTCCGAGAACCCCAACTTCATGTCTTATGCAGGTAAACTATTTTTAAATCTTATACCTATATAATTCAACTATTTGTATTTATTTTTATTACATTTATTTTATTACACTGGAATAATTAACATTTAACAAAACATTATTTTCATTTATAATATTGCAATATTGGTTAATTGAAATATACGTTAGAAATTGATACTCCAATTTAATGAAGGTGTATACAATAAATCTGATACATGATACAATTCATTTTCATGACTTTTTTTTTGTTTTCATTTATGTTAATTAAATAATTATTGATGTAACCCGCGTCAATTTATAGAAATATATTTTTAAATCGGATATATATCAAATAATACGACACGTCTTTGCATGGCATCAATTGATTTCATTAACATCGTATCTAATGTAATGTTTAAGAAAAGATAGGAAAGGATTTTCAATAAGGGAAATAAAAGAATAAGAAGAATAAGAAGAAGATCTTTTTCTCGTTGAAGTAAACAGTCGTAAATCGTAAATCGTGATCTTGTTTCTCTCATTCCGCGTTGGCAGCTCGAAACGTAGCCGTGTTCGTGTGGCACGCGTATCGAAACGGAATGAGATTTCTCTTCTATTTATAGCACTCGCAAGAGCGAATGCTAACGCACAGCCGTTATTAGCTGCCGTTTCTGCCGAAGCGCGTTAAGGAGGAATGGATTAACGACCGTACCGAAAATAGAATCCAGTGTTCTGTCGATTGCGAAGGAAAAGCCGGATATATTTTTACTATATTCGTTAAAACGTATCTATAAGGACAAACGGGAAATACTTGGTTTTTATTTTTTTGTTTTTTTTTTGTTTTTTTTTTTTTATTTCGTTTAAATCTCTTGTCAAAATCGATAAGATTTTTTTTTTCTAATTCGATAGAGAAAAATCAGAAATTAAATCGGATTTCTTTTATATTATCGATCATTTAATCACCTAGTTTGTGAATTCTTGAAAAATATATATTTATTAATTTAGATATATAAATATTTTTGGAATAGTAATTTGTGACAAACAAAAAATTGGAAAAAAACGATCCTTCAGTTGACAAATTCAGTTTTTTGTTTCTTTTTTTGTTTTCCAATAAACATAAATTGCATGTTTCACACGATCGAGTTTTCTGTTATTATCGATTTTATGAACATTCTAGATCCTAATGATTTTACTAAAAATATTAACGAAATTTGGAAAAATGATCTTTGCAGACGCCTGGATTTTTTCTACGCAAAAATTTCATTGATCATCTAAAACTCTGTTGTACACTTTCAGGAAAACTCACAACGATCTTAATATACACAGATTTAGATTCACCGGGTGGAATGATATCAAGATTTTGGAGGACTGACCATATCTCAATTGTATTCCTCATAAAATATTTTCTCTCATTTCCAGAAAAAATTGCTTCACCACTGACTACTTCAAGGGATGCTTAGAAGTATTATTGCTGACGGACGAGACGGAGAAGATCCAAATGTGGATCAAGCAACTCCATGGGGCCGATCCCGGGGTTTAGGTAGCTTCTTTTTTTATGTTTATGATTTCATCATTTTTCGTTTATTCTTTTACTCCTAATTCCATTTCTCGTCTTTCCTTCCCTTTCCTATCCTTCTTTCTTGCTTCTAAAATTTAATTAATTAACATTCTTAATTTAAAGTACCCATCCCTTGTTCGATTGTTCACGTTTAAAAATATTAATCGTATCATATATCTTCCTAACAAAATCCTCGATCTTCTACACAAATTTTTACGTAATTTTTTTCTTTCTTTTTTTATTTTTTTTAAATATAATTACTTACAACAACAATTGATTATGTTTATCTGTTATTTCTTGGGGGATATTTCTCATTCTTCTTTTTTTTTTTTTTCTTAATTTATCTTTTTATTCAATTATTGTTTATTTTATTATATGCAATTTTTCGTTGCCTTTAAACGATACATCTGGACCCGAATAATGCCGATCGTACTTGGACGTATTCCTCCTAAATATCTTCTTAAAAATCACCTTTGGATCGGGAACTCTGCATCGAGAATTGAAATAAGAGTATGTCTGTACGAAATTCTAAGTAATTTCGTCCCGAATACACAAATACGTGTAATATAACTCTTTGAAAAAATGGATTAGCAGTACTGTCAATACATTTGTGCTAGATCGAATAAAATACAATGAAGTTAGAACAAAAAAAAAGAGAAAGAAGAATATATTTTTCAAATATTTTATCAACAAAATTCGTAACAATTCGAAATAATATCTAGCACTTCTAATTCAGTACTGCTAAGAAATAGGAATACGAATCCATCCGTTCGTCCTGACACATTTTTTTCCTACGACGTATTTTTCGACGTATACAAAATTTTTGTGAATTTTTACATTGCAGCACAGCAATTCTGTATGTGAATTTTTCATCCCCAAATTTTTTGGTGGGACTATTTTTCATGAATTTTTTCCCCTAAACATACACAATTTTTTAGATTCCACAATGGAGGAGCAGCAAGATTTTGGACATTTTTTGCGCGATTCCGATCATTTTTGTGAAAGAAAAAACCTAAATTCCTTTAATCCTACATTCTAACTACTACTAAACTCATTGCCAGATTTACATCTCTCTCTCATTCTCTTCTGTCTCTTTAAAATATTTACCACAAAACTTTTCAAAGAAATTGCAAAGATGCACAATTTACAGCATTGCATTCTTTGACATTTTCTGAAGTTTACATGCTAAATTTATAACTCGATATAGTATTCTACGCGTAGACAAAAGAGTGTTCTTTAATTTAATATAAAAATCATTAAAATCCATTTGCAAAAAGTATAAAAAATATTTACTGAAACTTTTCAAAAAAATTGCAAAGATGCACAATTTACAGCATTGCATTCTCTGACATTTTCTGAAGTTTACATGCTAAATTTATAACTCGATATAGTATTCTACGCGTAGACAAAAGAGTGTACTTTAATTTAATATAAAAATCATTAAAATCCATTTGCAAAAAGTATAAAAAATATTTACTGAAACTTTTCAAAGAAATTGCAAAGATGCACAGTTTACAGCATTGCATTCTGTGACATTTTCTGRAGTTTACATGCTAAATTTATAACTCGATATAGTATTCTACGTGTAGACAAAAGAGTGTACTTTAATTTAATATAAATTTTATTAAAATTTATTTACTTATAGTTTAAAAAATATTTATTAAAACTTTTCAAAGTAATAGCAAAGTTGTACAATTTGTAGCATCGCACAATCTCTGATATTTCTTTGAAAAGTTTTTGAGGGGAATATTCTATAGAATATCAAAGTATTATATTCGATGTCTAAGAAAAACTAGAAGAATTTTTTAATTTCCAACTTCGTCTGAAAGCTCTTAACATTCATAGTAATGCCAAGGAATTACTAGCAATGACTGATTTCCGGCTTTGACGGTAACACATACAAAAAAAAGAAAAAGAATAAAAAGTTAAAAACTAATGTTAAATAAAATAGAACGGTAGAAATACAGATAGAGAATGAGAGAGAGAGAGAGAGAGCCGGAAGATAATTCGTTAGCATCCGGTATTGACCCTCACGAGAGAGGGAAAAAGAGAAAGAGAGTGAAAGAGAGAAAGATCAATGGCCTCTCTTCTTCTCTAGTAACAGTGTGTATATGGCTCTGTTACTATAGATCTAATCCTGGTCGTTTTGTGGCATATCTTTTTTTTTCTTTATTTTTAAACAGGCAAGACTGCTTCAGCACTCAATACTTCATGAGCTGCATCCAAGCGTTGCTACTTGAGGACGAGAAGGAGAAGTTCCAAGGGATGGTCGAGTACCTCGGTCGCAAGAAGTAGGCGAGAAAGAAGAAGAAGAGAAAGGAAGGAAGGAAGGAAGGAAGGAAGGAAGGAAGGAAGGAAAGAAGAAAAGAAGGAAGGTTGGAATGAAGAAATCAAGAAATGAAGAAAGGATGGAAGAAAACAAGGCTCCTGCGGTGTTCCAAAAGACGAAGAGACTACGATCAAAAAAAAAAAAAGATGATGAGATATGAAATTTGAGGAATCAACATGACGAAGAATTTTACGAGGAAGAGGTGTGCATGTTTTTAATAAGCAAGCAAACTCTTTAACGGAAATCTAACTCGAGCCGTTATCGTTCGATTATGATCAATTTAAAAGAAACGGAAAAAGAAATACTTCTTTTTATATTTATTTGTGATCAGTATTTGTTTTTATTAATCGTTTGTTCGATATATTATTAATATATATATATATATATGTGATATGAATATTTTGTTCATTATAAATGATTTAATGTCAATATTAAATTTCATTTTGTTATTACAATGTAAGTTTTCAATTGTGATCGATATAATTAATTATTATATTCTTGTCTGTTACTTTTTTTCATTGATAAATATTGATTACTTTATTGTAAATATTCATCATTTATTTCGAATATTTATTTAAATATGTTTCAAAAATACTGATCCGATAAATATCACCTTTTAAGAAGTATTTTCCAATTATTTTATAATTGTTCAGTAATTTTTTATTAACAACACTAAAAAGGATATATTATATATATCAATGGTTCCCAACTTGTCACATATCGTTTGACAACTAATATCATTAAATTATACACCCGAATATTTGGAAAAAGATTGCAATCTATATAATTGCTGTTGTTTCAAACATTTTCCAGGTAAATAACATTAATGCAATATAAGTACAGACAAAAATCGGTAATATTGGAAAAAAATTTATACATTATAAAAAAAAAAGTAAGTACTCCAAGTTGGAAACCACTGATCTATATAATTTATCGAGATCGGTAACACGATGATACTCTTATTTTTCTTCTTTTAATGAAATTTCTTCAAACGTAAGTACTTATAATAATAATTTATGTTTGATCAAAGCGTTTTCGTAGGGTTCAAGATCTAGATCCAAGATTGATCTCGATTAACATATCTTTTGATTTTTTTTTAATTTCTTTTTTTCGTTCGAACGTCAACGAATCGCCTTGAAATGAAAATATTTGCATCAGTCGTAGTCTCTTCGACTAAAAACAACGATTTCAAATAAAATACGAAGAATAATGAGAAACAAACATACTAACAAAAAATATATATACATTATATATATTATATATATATATATATCAAGCGAAACGGTACGATCGAGCCATATGATTTCATCAAAACCCCATACGAATTCTAGTCGACAAAATATCTGCGCTCGCGCACTGCGCCACCTATATTTTTTTTTTTTTTTTTAATGCGTTCAATCATTATTAATTATTATTACTTAATAACTCGTCCTTTTATCGTGTTAGTTATTATTATTATTATTATTATTATTATTATTAATTATTATTAGTTAATATTATTAATTAATATTATTATTTCCTTCCATTACATAGGTAATGACAATGCCATAGGCATTTCGGAACATGCAGCGCATGAAGATGACAACTATTGCACAGAATAAATTAATTAAAAATGAAGACAACCAAAATTATTCACGAGTCGTCAAAAATAAATAAAATTATTTTCACAATTATCTCTTTATCATTCCATTGAATTTTAACGTATGTACGATTCGATACAAAAAAAATTATACATACGAAAGGTAGAAAAAATTGCAAATGGTGGACTCGTGAATGATCTGTGCAATTTCTGTCACAAGTAAACGCAGGAGCTTACTGTTTGAGCTCCTACATATACATATTAATTACTCTTGCAAATCTTTATTTATTTTTTTCTACGAGTCCTAAGGTCGTAATCTTTTTGTTTTTCTTTTTTTTTTTTTTTATAACATTTAATAGAAAGAGAAAGAGAGAAAGAGAGAGAATAGTATTATTATAACTCGTGTGTACCTATTAAACATTGCAGCACGCGTGCATTATATGCCGTGTCTTCGCGATAGCTTTATTTCCAAAAAAGAGAAAACAACAGAAATTTATTAAATATATATATATATATATAAAAATATGAAAATTGATAAACGTGAAAGAAAAAAATAAGAAGATAGATTTTAAATTTGTTTTTATATTTTGTAGGTACATGCAAGAACTCTTGATCTGTAAAAAAAGAATAATTTTTTAACGATGACTTTTATAAAATTAAAATGATACGAGAAAAACGTATAATTAAAAATTATATAAATGCATTCTAAAAATTGCTAAAACCGTGTTTAATAATTTAAAAAAGTATAATTAAAATTTGTGCGTATGAAATTAATTTAATTATTATTTATTTAAAAATATAAATATCATAGGTTCTTGCATACGACCTCGAAGAATATTTTTAAAAGAATTTTCATTTTCTCTTTTACGAAAAGAAGCCATGCGCGAAAATCCGCAATACTCTTCCGATATATCTAAAAATAATAATAATAACAACAACAACAACAACAACAGCAACAACAACAAATCGTCACACGCGCACAAACTGTGACGTGTTAGAAAGATACGAACCATTCCAAAAAACAGTATTGAAACCATTCCGCCTCTCGTTGATCTTCCTCGAACGCGTTTGTTCGAATTCTGTGTTCCCACTTCATCCCCCATTAACCTTTCCTCCTTCTCCCCACTCTTTACTCTTTCTTCGTTGGATCCTTTCCGCGTCCTCTTCGTTTGTCGAATAATTCCAATTAGATTCTAATAGTACTACATATATATATATATTTTTAAATAACAAATTTGATGACTCTCAAAATGAACAGAAATTTTTCAAAGTAGAGATCTACGTTACCGGCCGATTCCGATCGTCGCGTTCTCATCGATGCATGTGTGCGTGTGTGTAGATCTATTAATCCCGATCGGAATGGATCGAAATTTAAAATGATCCACAAATATTCTAATTAACATTCCATTATGAGAAGATATTAATCTCTCTGTTCTGAAGTATTATATATAATTCCGTTTAAGAACAAATTGTGTTAAATATCGCGAGAGAGATATTTTTTTTCTTTTGTTATTTTATTAAAATGATTAGAAAGAAAGAGATGGTCTACGATTTGCAAACAATTCGTTCGTCTTTTTTTTGCTTTTATATACACGCATATATATATATATATAAATAAAACCATTAGTTTAATTAAAAAATTATATATATATATATATATATAAATATTTCGTTCTTTGTTGCGAGCGATTTGTTTATCATTTCTTTATTTTTTTTTAATTAATAATATTTGATTTTTCAAAAAATATAAAAAGGAAATAATTAATCTTTGTTAATTTTATAAAATTTTAATTATTTATATTAAACAATTAAGAAAAAGAAAACGCCACGCAAAGCAAGTTTGAATTCCAAAAAAAATGTATTTGTCATCGATACGAGTGATTTCGACGACCGTAGAGGCTCTGTCTTTCTTTCTAATTATTTTTCATCGAATTAAAATCTTATACATCTAACATTGGAAAGACTTTTACGTTTCCGAGTCTCTCTTTAACTCGATATTTCCCGTTCATTATCATCTCATCATCATGTTATCATCATCGTTATTATCGCTATTATATAATGCTATTTTTATTATTATTATTATTATTATTATTATTATTATTATTATTATTATCATTATTATTAGTTATATACGAATAGACGAATACTCTAAAACATTTCACAAGATGACTTCTTTTTAAAAAATAATTGTTTATGTATAATATGTAATCTTTTTCGCTTATGCGAGAATATAGTGCGCCCTTCAGCAATCGCAGCAAATTTTACTATTACCGCAAGGACACAGAAAAAGCATAAAAAAGAAAAAAAAATGAATTTGTTATAATACATGTAATATGTGTGTATCTCTGATAATAATACGGAAGAAAGAAGAAAGTTTTTAAAGAGAACGAAGATATTGTGAAAGAGGGAAATGATTATTTATGAATATATATTTACATTATATATATACGTATATCAAATGCGATGTATATTTATGTATGTGCATGCATTATCACGTATATTCATTCTCACGTGAATGAACCTGGCCTGTGTATATATATATTATATACAAATATAAAAATATACTGAACAAAACGAAAGAAAACAAAAAAAAAAAATGAAGAGATAAAACGTGTGTACATGTGATCATCGTCATGTACCTAATGTACAATTAACACAACACGAGTATATCCACAAATTATACTTGTTTCGCGTTAATAAACGGATCAATCCAAAATTATTATGTCTTTTTCTTTTGTTTCTCTATCCCCCAATATATATTTATAAATTAATTTCATTATTTATTAAATAAAAATATAACTTGTGTGTGTGTATGTGAGAGAGAGAGATAGTTATTATAAAAGTAATATATTAAATTAAAAATTTTTTAAAATTAATTTATTGCATTATGCCGCGTATAACGAATCTAACAATACGGATTATACAATAAAATAATTTTGAAAAAATGTTTAACTTATTAAACTATTATTTTTATAATAATATATTAATATTAACAACAATTAGTCTATTATTCTTTATCTTAATTTTTACTTTATTTTCACTCAAAAAAAAAAAAAATTCTCAAATATTCAATTTCTCAGAAAACTTATAGCCACATACTTACATAGTTATCGTATGTTACAATAGCAAAAAAAAAAAAAAAACAAAAAAAAAGGGAAAGCAAGAATACTTCGAATCTTTTTAATTCAATTTGAAAAATATTTGTTAATTGTTTAATCAAATATATATTAAGTACTCCATGCCCCATGAAAAAATTTGATGTATATAAATCGAAAATGGAAACATGAAAATATCATTTTTACTATACAATGGAATAATAATAAAATCTTTATGCAAATACATGATCTTAGGGCAAGTCCGA